AGAAATACAAGTTGGAACCGATTGGTTGCATGTTGCTGTATGGCTTTACAGAAGTTGGTTATGCAACAATATGTCTCAAAGGCAACACTACTCAATTTCAAAGGAACTGTTTCTTATTCCAGCAATTCATCAGGGCATGCAGTTTATCTGAATGATTTTGGAAGTGATCATTCTTCCCTTCAATTTCCAACTTCCCCTTACGATTAGTGACCACATCATTGGAACACAATAACACTAACGAAGATTCATCAAACCCAGGAGAGGATGAGTTTTTTTCATTTATAGTTGACACAGAGAGTTATTCAGCTGCAAGTGACAACACAGCAGAAACTGAGACTGAAATTAAACCCACTTGTGCACAAATGGCAAGTTTGACAGTGAACGTGAAGATGGAACAAGCGCTATTACCTAGGACATTCAAGCAAATTCTCAAGAGGTCAGTGATGACAATGTCCTGCTTTTCCACAAGTCAAGTGTTTCAAGGCTTGGAGCAATAATTATAATGATGCTTTTTAGCTTACCACATCAGCTCCCTGGATAAGTTTTGGTTGATTTAGTCAAAGCCCTGTTACCTAATGGTCACAAATTTGTAAGTCCCACTTAACCAGAAAGTATTTTGTTGATCTTTTCAGGGAACCTCCACCAAAGAAGTGCTCTTATTGTGCAGTGTTCAATCTAGAATTTGTTGCATATTTCACTACTTAGCTCTCCTTCTATATTTGTTTTAAAAAAAAATATTAAAGAATTATCTCACTGATAACCAATCTGTCGCTTAATTTTCTGATCTTGCTCACTCTGCACTCAGCCATGAATTTAGTTCATTAGGTAGTTGAAGGAAGCCTATTAATATAAGCTTCAAGCTTCGTTAGGTTTCCTTGTCACATTAATTTTATAATTTAATTAACAACTTTTGTTCATGTTGTATAAGGTTTTGCGAGTGACTAAACAAATAAAATAAATAAATATAAGTTGAGGTGGGTCATATGTCCCACAAGGCATTTTAAACTGGGTCACTTCAAAAATGGTCTGGGTCACACCATGATATTGAAACTTTGAACACTTGACATAATCGAACTGACTTCTCCGGCTTCACCATCCTTATCCAGCCTATCTTCACGTTTTTCAGGTTTTAATTTACTTTTTTTTGCCTGCTGCTTTGGAAGTAATAATTATATATGAGGTAATATTTTTGCATCAGTATGACTCCACGATAATTTCATTTTGCATCAGAATAGAATATTCCGCATCAGTGATGCAACAATGCAGGCTACATTGAACACTGATTGTGGGAATTGTCTTGGGAAAATAAGGATTGGACAAACAGAATGCTTAAAGGGAAAATGCCGCAATTCAATAGTTGCTGTTGGTATATCATGTGATATATGTACATGAATGTAACCATAATAGTTTAAGCATATTGTTTGCTTCCTGCTTGTAGACCCAAGCCTTCTGATGGTGGCTCCTTAGCATTTGTCCTTGGTGTTTCAAAAAAGGAAACGTGAATTAAGCAAGAGCTGTTGGCAATAAACAAACTTCTCTTTAATAGAGGATTTGCCATTGTTGGCCACGGGATCAAGTGGAAACATACCAGGGAGCAGTTGTAAATGGGTCTACCTTCAGTTGCACAAGCATGGATAGAAGCAAATTGAAGAACTCACATACTGTTCAATATGAGAATGTAAAATAGAAAAATAAAGAGATTCTTAGTTTTAGGAAGATACATTTTGCAGTTGTAACAAAACAGGACTGAAGTGAATCTCTTTCATCCACAATCACATCTTCAAAACTTCCACCACATGGCTGCTACCAAAAGATCAAAGAGTTTGTTCTGGCCTTGATACACTAAGATGAATATCACGTTATGATGTATACTGATAAAGGACCCATGACAATCGAATCAAAGTAATCAGTGTAACTAGCATAAATATTATGATGGTAACATGAAATTGAGACTGGTCGCATGTTTGTTTCAGCATTGCACTCTACTCTGATTTACGCAAATTATGCAAAAAACAAATTCTTTCCCAGGATCAGACAAGAAGTCAAGGCAATCAAGGCTAAGAATCTGGCATTAAAATTAATATCAGCATACTGAGCCAAAGAGGGAACACTCTTGAGAAATCTCAGGATTTCATAACAATGATTTAAGACCTTTATCAAAACCCTTCAAAAATCCAAAGGCCAGAAAACAAGGCTTTCACAGTGTTCCCTCCATGATTTTGGGAAGGCCAGGGGGTCTTCTGACAGAGGTTTTTAACAGTGTTTGTACCAAACCTTATGTAGCCAGAACAAAAATTCATAAAGACTCAGGAAATTAAATTCAGTTGTTCACTTGGTTAGTTCATTTGGTTAACTGTTTTCCTATTATATTGTTTTACTGAGCCCCCAAACCAGTCTGTAGAGTTTGGCAGAACTCAACAAGATCTTGTGCATGCAGAGCCAATTTTAGCCGTGTGCAATATGTAAAAGTAGTGTGTTGCCTACCGACACATTTTTCAGTAATATAAATTCAAACAAGAGCAGAACAAGCGATTTTGAGAACGATTTCCTGTACATGTGCAGCTCATGAGACTACCCATTAAGACTGACATTTAGCATGGCGTATGTGTGTTAAAAAATGCATCATTCTTTTTGTGCATATACACTCATCTGCATGTTTTCAGCTAGTACGTGGTGTGTCAATTACATCAATATTTTATTATATCATTATGCTACATCACATACATTATTTAATTCATTAATTGCAATAAATGGCTTAATGACTTTGTCCTATTACTGGACAATATTAATTTTTGTAAACTATAGACACTTAACTAAAATGCTTAACACAAAAATGCTTAAAAGCTTCACCTAAGAAATCATTGCAAGGCAACATATGTTGAAAGAACAACAATATATGTGCCTAAACATCTGCAAACATATTAGATTATATTGCAGTAACTGTATAGCAGAGGTCATGATTAGGAAGATGACCGTAAAGCAGACAGCAGAAATACTATGTTAGTAAATTGCTCTCCTTAAGTCAGTCAAATGAACCGTTTGCTCTTCCTGTAGCCCTAGAGAAGAACAGCATGTGTATTTGATACAAAAGTGTCACATAAGAAATGACAGAATTCATTCTTGTTATCACTGAGTTTTATAGGCCGCAGACAGATGGCTCTGATCACCTCAGACAAGTGCCTATGTGCACGGATGCTCTGCTTTAGTCTGTCATGCTGGACTGGTGGACTCAAAAATTCAGCCCTTTTGAGCATTGCATTTTTTATTTAATAATTATCGCATCGGGCACCATTTTGATTCTATTCAAATTTATTCACATTAACTTATTATAGGAATTTAACGATGCACATTGACAATGCAAAGAAAATTTACATTACACAAAATTAATGTGAATTTTCCAAATGTTAGATTTGCATCAATTAACGCAAAATTTTTGAAAACAATGTGTGTCTAACTTTATTTCATGTGAATTTGCTGCAATAAAACTTCACTGGTTCAAGGCGGCTTGGAAATCCCCATAAAGGTAACCGTGCATTGACAGGATGAATGGGCCATGAAAATTTTAAGAAGAAAGACAGAGGAAGTTGGCTATCACCTCAGGCAAAAGGATCAATAAGAAGACCAACTGAACTCAGTTGAAGAACGTGATGAATCAAAAGGTAAAACAGTTCAAGAAGCCTACACAGGTATGGTTGCTGTCAACACATGAAGCTGTAGAAGCCATTTCTTCTGCATGGACACTGTTAATATTGTCTCTGGAGCATGAAGCAGCATCTAGCAACAACAATGGAGCAGCAAAAGCAAGGGGTATGATTTAAAAAATAAAATCTTTTGTTTTTATTGCAACCACTTGCTTCCTTTTTGTTGTACTTGGTGTTAACCAACAAATACAGCAAAGTCTTTCAGACGGACATGATTGGTCGATTAAAATTAATGCAATCAATGCTAGAAGCAACTGTGTCAACGACCAAAGACATGAAAGACAAATAATCCTGGTGAGCATTTGGAAGAACTGTTTTTCCACATGGAAATAAAATAATGATAGTGAAGACAAAGGAAACAACGTGGCAGAGTTCATTCTGGTACAGAAAAACCGTTTCAATAGAATCAAGAAATAATATTATTTATAGACAACATGATTGCTAAAGTGGAAGAGAGATTTCTCAACCGAAAACAAGGAAAAATCTAGTGTTTGTGAAAGATGGAACCATACCATCAAAACCAAAATGTGAAAGCAGTTTATTGTCCAAGGTAACACAGCATGTATTGATATATTGCCAAAAATACTGAAGCAGTATAATAACACTAAACACAGTTGTATCAAAATGCCACATATAGAAGCCAGTAAAAAGAAGAATGAAAGTACCTTGTATTTCAATCTACATGGCAATATGGAGCAATATTGTCATCTAAACCTAAATTCTAGGTTGGCGATAAAGTCAGGATAAGTAAATACAAAAGAAAGATGTTTGATAAAGGCTACACACCTAATTGGACTGAAGAGATATTCCTGATTGATAAAATCCAATCCACAAATCCAATCACCTACAGATTAAAGGATCTCAACAACGAGGAGATACAAGGGAGCTTTTATGAACCTGAATTACTGAAGGCAAAACAGGATAATTATATTCTGCATTGATAAAGTCATTTGGAGAAAATAAATTATAAGAAGAAACAAGCTCTAGTATCTTGGAAAGGATATAGTGATGACTTTAATTCCTGGGTTCCACTAAAGGATTTACAAGATTTATCTGATAAGAACTAGGGGGGATTGAAATTATACAATGTATAAAATAATGGTACATATATATATGATGGAGAAATTATTCCATAATGCAGACTTGGATATAGAGCTCACATCATATATTGATGAAAAGCAAAATGTTTGATTCCGAGGAAAGGACGTTGCTAAGATACTTGGTTATAGTGTTACTGATCAGGCCATAAGAAAACATGTGTCTGATAACCACAAACAGTTAATTTGTTGCCCCATTGAAATGAAGGGTCAACAAAATGACATGAGAGGTAAATGGACCACGTTCATCGATGAGGCTGGTTTTTATGAACTTGTATTTAGTTCCAAATTACCCGCTGCTAAAAAGTTCCGTGATTGGGTATTTGAAAAAGTCCATCCATCAATCTGTAAATATGGCCAATACAAACTGTTTGATAACCCCCGGAATAAGATGATTATGATTAGCAATGAGACTGACCTCCATTATAAAGTCGTAGACATGATAAGAAGATTCTATCCTGATGGTATATTAGTAGCAGGTCTCGGGGAACTACAGGACACTGAAGACAAGAGACTGGACTCAAATAAAAAGGGTTATACGAAAGGCCAACCAGACCTGACGATACTCAAGTCTTATAAGGACTTTATGGGCCTCGGCATAGAATTAAAATTGCCAACTGGCAATTACCGTGTATCAGATGCTCAAAAAGAGATGAAAAAGCAGTACTTTAATAATGGCTATGCATTTATTCTGTCTTATGACTAAGATAAAATATCGAAAGCAGTGCATGAATATATGAAAGGTATAAGAGTGCCGTGCAAACATTCTCATAAACTATTTGTTACTAAGGAAACATTATCAACACATTATAGTGTAATACATAGAATTATATTGTACTACTTGCCGGCATATCACCAAACACTATGTTTTTGGCTCCAAATTACTTTGTACTGTTTGCCTTGATGATGTATTCACAAATTGCTGCATAAAGCGTATTGCCTAATTTTTGTACTATTATATTTGGATCTATTTTTTCGGGTCCGAATACATACAATATATATATATATGGAAGATTATATCCGTCTTTTATGCCAACAACAATCTCTTTCTGGAGGCACTAGTTTAATAACTATGTATATTCCTCCAAATGGTAGAGTAAGCTTTAGTAAACGCAAGTTGACTAATGAAATGGGCCTTGTCTCAAATATCAAATCAAAAGTCATACAAAAGCACACGAGAGCTGCTCTCAAGTCAGCATTATAGCAATTAAACCAACTGAAGGAATCAAGAGTTTCATGCCGTGGGTTACTGCTTTGTTCTGGCATAATCGCAGATAATTGTGAAGGATACAAGGAATCAGTTATCATAGACCCAGAACAAACAATAGAAAAAGCTGATTATACATGCGGCAAGAGCTTTTATTTGGATCCTATTTTAGATACTTATAAAAAGAAAATAATTGAAGATCCAATAGTTGATAAAATATTGGAAATGATTCAAAAAGCAGATACAGATAGATTAGATTTTGGTTTTAAAAAATAACAAGCGACCATTCCCATGTCATGTTTACAAAATAATGAAACCAAATATCAAAACTATAAGCCAGATCCAGACTCAAAAACCAAAATAATATATAGTCATAAGTTATTTCAATATGGTGGTATGGTTGGGCTTTACAGAAACCATTTTTTACAGTGTATGTTTCTACATACTACACAAAAAAATATTATTGTGTGTTGCACTGGTTTAAGTGAAACATTCAAATCATGTGATATCCTGAGCCATACCTTGATTCTATCATTACAAAATGTGACTTTATTCAGTCCTGACAATTGTTTCAATGTTTGTGAGGAACTCACATTCAGTAGAACCTTCAGGAAAAAAAGTACAGAAAGAAACAAACAGGATTTAAATTCACAACTTAATGATATCTTCATTACAAACCAGTGTTACAGCTTTCATATTAAGGATCAAGGTATTGTACAAATGAAACTCATGCAGCTGCTACAGCACAGAAGTAAAAGCCCTGAAGTGGATAAAGCGAATGAAAGCAATCATGACAAAGATGAAACAAGATAGAAGATACCTGAAAATGAAGACACTGGATGTTGTGCTTTTCAACAGCAGTTTCTTGACCCTCCTTCATCTTCACCGTTATTCTGCTGCTAAAATTTTCAGGGCCATAATTTGCCAATTCATCACTACGTTCATCAAGTGAACCCACTTTGTACGAAAACAAACCCGATGATGACAACAGCTCTTCAGTATTTCTAAGTTCGCAGTGAAGGGCGCAGAGATTAATCAAGAAGGAACTCTAAGTCATCACAGATGCCTTTGAAACTAAGAAAAAGAAGATTCATTATTTTATTAGTTGTGGGGGATATCTCCCCTGAAGTGGTACTTTACAGTTTTATAGATTTCAAACTCAAGTTTTTTACTCGACAGGTTTTCAGTAATTATGACAGTGTCCCTAGAACATTGACACACCTACAGTGAAGGAAGACTGTGATATTATTATTATAGGAAAATAATATGTGCTCTCTAGGAAACAAGACAAGGAGCATTAAACACCATGTTTGCCCAAAAAAGGCTTTTTGGTTTCTTTTCCATGTAGTGGAACTTCCCCTTTTACAAAAGGCAAGGCTTAATTGACAAAATATTATTGCTAAAATGATCAGGTCTATATAAAAAGTTAGTCTTTTATAGAAAACATACTTATAAAGCTATAAATGCTGGGATGACGAGGTTCACTCACTATACCAGGGAATTTATTTTTTTGAATAAAGGTTAACCGTATTGAGATAACCTTGTTTTGAATGCCTTTTATAATTAGAAGTTACTGTGAATTCAAAATGACAACTACAAATGCTGAAATTCGTGAATA